AATACAATTTTAAAAAAGAAAAGAAAAACAACAAAGTTGAAGAACTAATATTACATGATTTCAAGACTTATTATAAAACAATAGTCACCAAAACAATGTAATATTGACATAAAGTAATCAATGGAACAAACCAGAGAGCCCAGAAATAAAGCCACACAAATACAGTAAACCAATTTGGGACAAAGTGCAAAGGCAATTCAATGGAGAACAAATAGTCTTTTCAACAAACAGTGCTAGAACAACTGGATATCCACTTGCAAAATAATATGAACTTCGATCCATATCTTGCAAAAATGGATCCTAAATGTAAAATCTAAAACAAATAAAACTTACAGAAGGAAACAGCAGAAAAATCTTTGTGACCTTGGATTAGGCAAAGATTCCTAGATGCCAAAAGCCTGATCCATTAAAGAAAAATTGACAAATTGGACTTCATCAAAATGAAAACTTTCTACTCTTCAAAATACACTGTTAGGAGACTGAAAAGACAAGTCACAGTGTGGAAGAGAATTTTAAAAACAGAATATATAAAGAGCTCTCAAAACTCCCTAACAGGGGCACCTGGGTGGTGTAGTCAATTAAGCATCTGACTCTTGGTTTTGGCTCAGGTCATGATCTCAAGGTCGTCGGGCTCTGTGTGGAGTCGGCTTGAGATTCTCTCCCCTCTCCCTTTGTCCCTCTTGCTCAATTGCTCAATTGCGCGCTCTCTCTCTCTAAAATAAATAAATAAATCTTAAAAAAAAACACCTGTATTCAAAACAAAACAAACAAAAAAACCCCTCCATAACAAGAAAACTACCTAATTTTTAAAGTGAACAAAAGATGTTAACAGATATTTCACCAAAGAAGATACCCAGTGGTTTCCTAGCAAGGACGGCAGAGGAGGGAGGAAAGGGAGGCATGCAGAAGGGGCCTGAGGAAACCTAGACAGTGGACTGATCCACCCATGATGTTGGCTGTGGTGGGGGTTTCACGGTGCACGGGTCCACCCAGTGTTACCATCTTCGATACTGTAAACCTGTGCAGCTCCTTGAATGTCAATTCTACTTCACACCTAAAATACTTACCCGGAGCAATGGAGTAACACTGTAGGTACAACAGGAGTCAAGGTCAGGAAGAGCTGAATAAGGCCAGAGGACTGCGAGGGAGCATTAAGGGGAGATTTTCTCTGCACTTGGCGGAGCTGGGGAACACGGGAAGGAGGGGGAAAGAAAACAGATGGAGCGAAGGAAGAGGGATGATCATGCCGGACCAGTGCTGTGCGGTTGAAGAGTCGCAGGGAGCCGAGCAGAGCCAGATGTTATAACGAACCGCACATGAAGTTACAAGGGGAGGGGGCCCCGGTCAGGGCTCCAACACCAACCACAGGTCTGCTCCTCACGTACTTGGTCGGAAGAAGTGGTGGGACTGATGCCAGCAGAGCACGTGCGCCTGGTAAGTGTATGACGAAGGAATGAGCGCACAGATTAAGTGGATGGAGAGGGGAAAAGGGCAGAAAAGAGTATATGATTTTCCTCTTTCTCGACTACAACAAATGGAGTGCTCACAGAAGAATGGGCTCTCCACTGCACTAAAGCAGGCCCATGGACTCCGAGCCACTCACTCTGTTGACTATGACCTCCAAACAGTTACTAAACTGGTCATTAAGAGGTAAGACAACAAAGAGACCCGAAGTCATATATGTAATAAAGCAGTCTGAGGCAAAGAATCTGGAAGGACACAAAGCACGAAGAGCAACAGAAAAGAGCAAGCCGGCCACAGCCATGGTGCCAGGGACTCATACACATCACCAGGCTGGACCTCCGTGAAGCAGGTTGGTGGCATTACCCCATTCTAAAAATGGTACCACAAAGGTCAGAGGTCTGGTTATTTTCCCGGGGCCACCTGCCCAGGCAAAGGCAGAGCCAGGAAGCACACTAAAGGCCTATCAGATGTCAATGCTCGGGCCCTTCTCACTCCATCCTGCTACCTCTCGGAGGCAACAGGGCAAATGAATAGAAAACGTCCACCCCAACATTAGCCTTCACCCACCTATAGTTTATAAGGAAAACAGACAAGTATTGCTTCTACAGAAATCACTGAAGGTAACAACTTTCAACCGTAAGAGTTCCTTCAGTGATGAATAAAGTACATTCCATTATAAAACACTGAAGTTCACAGAGAGAATTTTAATTTCCCTGCAATCTAGAAATTTAAAGTTGGCAGTGGACATGGTCAGGGAGACTGTGGCATAAAAGCTGAGCCACCCTCCTCTACCCAAGGGGGGCTCTGCCTTCCTCCTCGGGCCTCAGCTCCCACGGCACCCCCACAAAGAGGCCCCTGACCTCCCGACCTCTTCTCCCCACAGCTGTCGACCACACTTGCTCTTCACTCGTAGCTACTGAAATTATCTACTTTATTTGATTATTTATTATCTCTCTCCTTAATCTCCCCCCGAAACCACCACCACCAAAAATGCCCTCATGGAGAGCCCCTGCCCAGTGCCTGGTCTGTAAAAGGCACTCCATCAGGATTCGTGGAAAGAATGGGCCAATCCCACAAACTCACATCTTTCCGCGTCTTGTGTTCTGCTGCCTGAATCCTCTGATCCATCTCCTCCTCCAGCTCACTCAACTGCATGGCTGCCTTGTCCTGGGCTCTGAAATGCAAGAGGACGCACACCTTTTCACTGCAGAGACAGCTTTAACCTCATCTATTTCAAGCCCTATTTTACAGATGAGGAGAAACACACCATTTAAAATAATAGTCCCTGTTCCTTCCACATAGTAAGACAGGATTGGCACTTTGACCATTTGGCTATAAAATAACATTAAAACTAGATATTTAGTAAATGGTATAAATTAGACAAAATAGTATTAAACTAGATCGTGGCAAAGAACAGCTAAAGATATCAAAATCACTGGGAAGCTCTCAATAAATTCTGAAAATCCTTTTTGCTCCCATGACTGAGTGACAATCCTGGACAAAAAAAAAAGAACCCCATGGCAAACAGATCTTTAGATAGAATGTTATATGCTACAGTTAGAAGGGGGGGGAAGGAATCTCAAAAATTATATCTCATCAGTTCCCTAAAGTTCTAGAATAAAAATACAGTCTTTACACTGTAGAAAAATTCTGTTTCTTTTACTAATGTCATCCCTAAATCACCTCTCTATAGAGGCAGAGCACACTGATTTGCCAAAAAGTTAGAAATGGGAACGTTTCGTTGAGGAGAGTTCTGGGATAGTTTTCCTGAGCAATTGGCTAGTATAGAGACATCTGTCATTTTACAATGGTTGAGGCTACAGATTAAACCCTAAAAAAAGTATTTTTAGTATTTTTTGTTCTCTCTCTGCTGTACGTCTATCTAAATTTTCTCATACATATGTCTTGCCTATTCAACTAGATGACAAGAGACTTGAAAGCAGCCACCACGGGATTTGGAGGGTCAATGATACACTGCCAATAAAAAGTAGAGAACAGGACCTAAACAGAAGACCTCCTGTCTTCCGATTTGATGGCTTCTGAGACACCATCTTATCTCCTGCTTTCTACTTGCTGATTCCCTTGTAACAGTCTGTGCATGCATTACTTTAATTTCTATATAAAGTTCCAAATGAGTCCTGAGGGGTGGGGAGAAGGCTCCAAAATAAAATTTTGAGTGACTTACTACTATTTTCCGCTTGTGTTTTCTTCATCCTTACCGGACAGCCTGCCCGAAGGGATGTCAACCTTGTTTGGAAAGTTAGCTATTTCTGGTTCATTTATAAGCACTTGCTATCTGAAATCTAGGAATTACATATCTCCACAGCAAGTTTGTTTTGTTGGTCAACTCTGGGACTGTAAAATAGCCAAGTCCGTTCTCTCCCTATGACCATTTTTCCAACCGTTCCTTCGTGACATCCAGGACTGTTCCTGAATGTGTTCTTTCTGCCTTCCTCACTCCTGAACGATGATTTTTTTTTTTTTTTTGGTAAGTCAGGGTAGTCTATGATGCCACCGTGTTTGCCCCAGCAATTCCTAACTCCTAGTGAAATGTCTGGTGTGATGAAGACTGTCCACTCGAACCTAGTCCAGGGATCCCATCCAGACATTCGGACCATCCTTCAGGTGCAAGCACAGAGCGAAAAGATAGAGACCCACCCCCATCCAAAATCCCAGGTGAGGGTGGATGGTCCTCCGCTGAGAACACAAGAGAACTTCACAGTCATCACGGAAGCACTTCAGCGAGGTCTCTGACAGCTGGGACAGAGCCTGACTTTGGTTCCCACCCCAACCACAAAGCAGCAGGAAGGAGACAAGCAGGACACGGCTCAGCACAGGTAACACACTCACTCCGCAGGGGTGCACAGCAGCTTGGCTGGTGATGAGAACATGAGGAATGCCATTCTTCTTTCCCTTGTGGGTTTACATGGTACTATCCTTAAAGGTCACATATAAATGTGTGTGTGTGTATGGAAGTTTGTCTGTTTTAACGGGTATTCCTGGACACTTTAAAAACTCAACATGTGTGTCTGTGAATCACCCCCAGTTTACAGAATTTGGAGTTCATAGGACTCTACTATCCTCCTGAAAGCCCCTAGCAGACAAACTTGAAGGAAAATTTCAGAGTCGGGAACCGAAAATGTTCTTAAGAAACTCCCTGTGAATAGCTCCACTCTTGCATGACTCCAGAACTATAAAAAGTCCTGTGTAGCATCGTTTTAAAACACTCCTATATTTTAATTCCCTTCACTTAAACTCCAAAAGGTTAACTAGATAGTCTGACCATCATTTGGAAGAATAAAGAGAGGAGTACCCTCTCCTCCCCCCTTGCAGATGGGGCGCATCCTATCAGAGGGGCTTTCACAAGTTCTGGGTAGAGACCAGCAGGATGCACCACACACTCAGAGATGCTGGTGAAACAAATGGCAGCGAGAAGCATCTTTGGGGCAGAACAGCCGGGAATTACAGCAAACAAAATGCTCTCTTTCCCACTAATGCCAAAGGACTGTGGTCCTTCCGGGGAGCAAAAAGGCTGATGTTTGGACTGTAACACATGTAAACTCTTCCTCTGCACTGGGCTGCTGGTAAAGCCAGTAAGATATCGATGTGAACCAGCCATGGCTTATACAGACCGTATGACAGTACAGGTTTCAAGCTTTTTGGCTTCCAGTTCAGGCTGGGGGAGGAAGGCCAGAGACAGGAAGGCCCACCACTGAGCACCCACCATGTGGTTGGTCTGGTGTGGGGGTTTACACCCAGCACATCATCTCCTGTGCCTCCACACCCTGAGAACGTGAATATTTACAGTCTCATTCTGCAGATACAGAAACCTGCCCGAAGTCACACACCTGTCTGTCACAAGGCCAGGCTTCAAGTACAGTCCTGTCCACCTCTCTGGAAAAGAAGTTTCCTGTATGTTTCAAGTGGCTGGATATAAGATAACAAACCTCTTTGAACTGTTCTGTAGGGAATCACTGGTCTTGAAAAGTTTATAGGATAGGATCACGGTGACCTACTGATGGACTGCTGGCTGCCCCTACAGAGTACTGCCCGACTCAGCTTTTTTCGTGCTGGTTCAGTTTAGGAAGCTCCAGATGCCCGAGGTTCGGGAAGTCCATCCACATCATAACATGATCGTGCAGTTCAGTCCACGTGCCACCTGGACACAGAGCCAGTTGAAGTACCCCACGTGCCACTGAGAAAGGAAGGGCTTCGGGCACCCGGGTGGCTCAGTCGGTTAAGCATCCGACTCTTGATTTCAGCTCAGGTCATGATCTCAGGGTCATCAGATCGTGGCCCGTCTTGGACTCCACACTCGCATATGAGCCTGCTTAAGATTCCCTCTCCCTCTGTCCCTCCCCTCACCCCCACTCAACTCACATTCTCTCTCTCTAAGAAAAAAAAAAAGAAGAAAGACAGGAAGGGCTTCAATACCTCTTCACCGCAATGGCCAGGTTTTCCATTTCTGTGCTCTGCAGTTTGATCTCGTGGATAAAGTTCCTTATAATGTGTTCGTACGGCTGAATTAGTCTTGGCTCCACAAGGTTGATGTTTAGATACAAGGTACTAACTTGCTCTTTTCTGCCAAAAAAACAAAAACAAAAACAAAAAAACCCCTAAAATTAAAAGCTAAATTATACCAAGTAAAAAATAAAAAGGCAAATTTTCAGAATACTTTCAGGAATGAGACATATAAGAATGAAGAAAAGAGAAAACAATAGAAGGACCAGAAGCAGTCAGAGATGCTGTGGCATTATTCTCTGTATTATTTTTAAAACGTAACAGCAAGTTTATTTTTTCCCAGATTTATTGAGGCATTACTGATAAATAAAAACTGTATATATTTAGGTTTCCAAGTCATGATTTAGTGTTAGAAGATGTAGACTGGTGAGGGAAGAGAAATGCATAGGGAGGGATTGACAGGTAGGGGCATTCTTTGTTATTACTGTAGGATTTTTTTAAAAGAAAGGTAAATAGGAGGCATCTGGTTGGCTCAGTCAGTACAAGAGTTCCAGCTGCACTTTGGACATGGAAAGGAAGGAAGGAAAGAAAAAAGAAAAGAAAAGAAAAGAAAAAGAAAAGAAAGAAAGAAAAAGAGAAGAGAAGAAAGAAAGGATTAGAAATAGAAAATGAAAAAAGAAAGGTAATAAGATGTACAGAAAAACGTTAGGTAACCATTAAACTGATGAATGACATGTTCCACCAATCCCTAATAAGACATATTTCAGCCTTTATGATCATAAGAGTGAATGTACCTATTATTTTATAGTCAAAAATTACTTCATATAAATTCACAGGTATTTATATGTGACAATCCTCATACTTGTCATTATTAACTTTTATTAAAAGACATATATTCTAGAATCGTTTCAAAAGAAAAACTGGACAGCTCAGCTCCTGGAGGACAAAGGTGTGAGTCAGTGGGGTTAGCAGTGCTACTGACTCAAGTTCAGTGGCTGACACGCTAAGTGTACAGAGAGGAGACTCTGTGAAGACATGGGAAGGTAGCCATCGAAAAGCCAAGGAGACAGGCCTCATTAAGAACCAACTCCGCGGGTGCCTTGACCTGAGACTTCTGGCCTCAGAACTGTATGAAAATAAATTTCAGTTGTTTAAGCCACCAGTCTGGTATTTGTTACTAGAAATTCCTAGGCAACCACAGCAAACAATAAAAGGCCCAATGTCCCAGAGTGACTGAGTGACAGAGCTGAGATTCCATCCCAGTCTGATGTCACAGACCACATGATCCGCCATAACATTATTTTGCTTCCCAATTGTGTTAAAGTATCTGAACCGTGGCAGAAGACATGGGATTCAAAATTAATTCACAGAACTATGAAACACTGCAAAATGTGAGGTATACATTAATCTAGAGGCTTAGTTAGGCATGGCCTCAAGGTGTGTCCATGAGCTATAAACTCCCCCAGGTTTGCGCTTAAAAATAAACTGCTCAGTCTGTGCAGAGGCCAATTATGATTGAAAAGAACTGCTCAAGTGAAATATTATTAATAGAGCTGCAGGATTAAGTCACTTTATTTGATATAAGACGCAGGAAGTGGCCACCATCCTTCCCATCAGAGCTGAGTACAAACACTAGTCACAATAGTGAGCCGTATTTACTAGAGCAATAAACAAAACAAAACAAAACAAAACTACTCTTAGATTGTCCCATGCAACTTCAATGCATAACAGGATCATTAATTTCTTTGCCTTTCGTTACTGATCACCAGCAGGATACAAAACATAAAAACTTTCTCCTTTATAGGAACCTGCCTGTCAGAGATGGCCATTAAGATACTGTCACCTAGAGTCCTTGCTTACTGGCCAACAGCACAATAAAATGCTCACAAGTAGAGATCAGCAGCTTTCCTGACTTTCTGCAAATTTCAAAAATAAGAAAGAAACAATGATTTGTAAATTTTTTTGCTGGTCTTGACATTATAAAGAATTTCAGAAATGGTTTACAGTGAAATATACAAACAGATCAATTATGGAAAATATCTGCATTAGCAGAAAATAATGTGATATGGTTAACCACTGTGCTATAGGCTAGCTGAATAGTCATCTATCCTGACTCTTATTACAGGGCACACAGGGAGAGATGACTTCCAGGAACTGCAGGCAGGAAGACTAGAGTCATATGACTAGTTCTGGTCAATGGAATGGGAACAGAAATGCTGTGTTGGCCACTTCCATGCTTGTCCCCAAAAATCCTTTTTAAGATCCTCAGCTTCTATTCATTCGTATTCTCCGTCTCTCTCTTTCTCTGTCTCTCTGTCTCAGCATCTCTCCCTCCATCCCCCTTCCCTCTCTCTCTTCCTGCTCCTTCTCTACCTCCCTCCGTCTCTCTTCCTCATCCCCACACCTGAAGTGAAGAACTCCAATATGGCGAAGCCATGGGATAGAATGCGCTTGGCTTCCTGAATCACCACACTGAGCTTAACTGCTCAGCAGGGCCGCCTGACCACTTCAATCTGAATGACACACAAGAAAAATGTTTGTATTTTGTAAAGCCACTAGGACTTGGAACTTTGTTACAGTCAGTTTGAACTTAAAAGGTTGGCATAAAGTTTCCTATTTTTTTTTTATTATCCTCATTCAGATTAAATTACTTCCTTATCTTTTTCCTTGATAGCTTTATATTAACTATGTAAAAGTTTCTATGACCAGGGTAAGTCTTTAGCACCACCACCCACTCTCCCTCAACAGAACAAAAGACTACTGTGAAACATCATATACTGAGGCAGACACTTACTAAGCACCTTACATATGTAGTCCAGGCAGTGATCCAGCAGTTACATGTACTATTCACTTAATCCTCATAGCAACTCTATAAAGAAGTTATCACCAGTATCCTGTTTACCAAAGAGGAAACTGAGGCAGAGATAGCTAAGTACTGTCCTGGTAGCAGAGCCAAGATTCCAACTCAGCCCATCTGGCTCCAGAGTCCAGCTGCCCATGGAAGAACTAGCTCTTCGGGCCAAAAGTAAATGCTGAACTGGTCTTTAGGGGCCCCAAGGGCGTGTCTCCATTTAAGAAAACTTAACATATCAAGATTTTTTAAAAATTGCTTTGGAGGAGGCTATGCATTATTGCTGCAAGGACTGTCCACATTATAAAGAGTCTCCCTTAAAGAATGAAGGCATGATGAAGATTAAAATGAGACAATCTTATAAAATTTGGTTTACTTAAAGCTATTTCGGGAAAGCACAGTTGTAGACAATAAGGCCCCCTCCCACCTTCCCCAGCCCCCATATGCCTGTGTGCTTCATTTGGTCTGGTTCTGTGAAACTAGAGAACCATCTGGCTTATGCTGAGAGAGAGCCAACAGAACACACTTGGCAATTCTGACATCTGATGGAGAAAACAAAACAAAAATTTAAAAAACCTTACTGTAACAAGAGGTAATACCTGGCCCTTCTCTGTGAGCTTTAAAGGCTGTGCCCTGCCCGGGAAGCTGAACACATGTGGATTCTTCAGCTCAACAGACTTGGCGCCAAGACAATCTTTGTTCTGCTCCTAAGAGTGCCACAGTCACTGGCCTCCCCCGGTGTCCTTGCTCCCCACATCAAAGGTTAAGTAAACAGAGACTGCACAACGCCACAAACAAGCTCTGTTTCCTTCTGGCTTGACCCCAGGTAGCATACGTGAGGACTGAGAATGATGCCCGGTGGTGACAAGTCCTGAAGCACTCTTCTTAATCCTTGAGTCTGGGGCCTCGCCTCACGCAGTTACACTTGGGTTCACAAATACCACGTAAACCTGCTTACAGATGCGCTTGACAAATGTTCAGTGAAAATTAAGGGTCAAGCCATAGGCTTTAGTCAGCCAAGACAAAACACAGTCTCTACCCTTCTGTGCCAAGAGAGCCCCTAACACTAAAAATAATCTCATTTATGTCTGAAGGAAAAGAGATAGAACGAAGGGCAGAGAAAGATATCAGAGAAATGCAGATCAAAGAAAAACATGCCCTGAATTACCAACCAACTTTAGATGTTTAAATCCTGAGCCTATGCATCTTATTTGATAAATTACAAGATGATTTGTTAAAAAAAAAAAAAAAAAGACAGTGGTGGTGGGTAATTACTGATGTTTTAAAATGGTCCCTGGGACATAAGCATTTTACATCACAAATATTCCCACTGAAGCTGAAAAGGCTATTACATGAACTTAAAAAAAAACCGGTCCACTTAGGATGTGTACAAATTATAAAAGGGTCACACATTTTCACAAGATTAACACTTTACTTAGAGGAGCACAGATATACTGGGATAGTTTTGGTCTTGAGAATGCTTGGACACCTCTGCTCCAAGGACACTTCCGGGAAATAGTCAAGCACAGACACACACTCCACACTAAGGAACACGGCGACCCAGTAAGATCATTAGGAAAACCGTCTCTTAGATCTCAAGTCTCGCTGCATTAAGCATTAAATGGGGGGCTAACCTAGTCATTCAAACAGATCTAAAACCCAAGACAGTTTTCTAAGAACAAAAGCTAACAGTATAAAGTACCAATGTCCGCATCATCCTACACGAGGGTCTGGCATAAGAAAATTGACATTATGACCCTAACATCTGAGTACAGGAAATTAAAACATCCATGCCATCCAAGGCATGGATGCTAGATACTGGAAGTAAAATGCTAAGAAACAGACTGGGTTCCTTCCCCCACTAGACCTGCCATGAAGATTAAGTACAAGATATTCTGGCAGCATAGACAGGAGAACATGACCAGCACTTGGGGGATAGCCTAAGGGATGAGTAGATGTCAACTAGGCAGCGAGGGGAAAAGGGTGAAGGAGTGGTGGCCTGTCCCAGGTGGAAGGGGCAGCAGGTAAGGCAGCCGCCCCTGTAACCAGAAGAAGCTGGTGGGGCTGGAGAGCTGGGAGTAGGGGAGGCGGCAGCAGCATCAGATGTGGATGTGGGGTGAGAAGTTAGCAGGAGCCAGAACGCACAGCAAAGATGCAGGAGGAGACAGTTATCGAGAGGGAGGGAAGCCACTGGAATGGTTAAATGGAAGCAATGACATGACCAAGTTTGCATCTTAACTACTCCCATCTTCATAAAGTTTTGGCTGAA